GAAGTCCACTCATCTTAAAGTGGCCAAGTATGGACAACACTGTCCTAAAGGCTTTTGGTCAAACTAAAACACGCATTTATATTTTGAGACCCTATATAAGTTTGTGCTGGTCTCTGAGCAAGCCAGATAGAAAGAGTATTAATATGTTTGAACTTTGGTGTTGGAGAAAACTCCTGAGGCAGTCATGAAAATAAACAAATGGATCACTGAACAAAGCAATCCAGAGTTCTCACTTGAGGCACCAATGACCAGGCTCAAATTATTCTACTTTGGAGTCATTATGTGAAGACCTAGCTCTCTGAGAAGTCTATAATGCTGGGAAAGGTGGAAGGAAAGAGAAGAAGAGCATGACCAAGAGCAAGGGGGATGGACTCAGTTTCAGCAGTGATGGGTGCATCATTGGAGGACCTGAAGGACCACTTTAGAGACAGACTGTCATGGAAAACATCTATCTATGTGGTTGCTAGGAGTTGACACCGACTTGATGGCACATAATCAATCCATCAATCAGTTTGTGAACATTTATGCTATTGTATTTGAGGCTTCTTATAATTAAGCCCCGAGAGAGAGCTCTGAAACCCAGATTTTCAAAGGTAACACGGGTGTGGGGAAGGGGAAGAGGAATGTCAAAGAGGACCATCAAGGTTGTCCCCACCCTTACTGAAAAGGGCACCAGGCTGGCTTTTTTTTTTTTTTTTTTTTTTTTTTTCAGCCAAACTTATTTCTGTTCTTGGAGCAGGGAAGACTTAGAAATGGCAGAGAGGGCAAAAGGGAGAATCAGTGAGCAATGAAGCAGTCACTTCTATTGATGGCAGAGATAGCATAATTTTCTAGGACTTCTTTCCAAACCCAAACCTTGTAGAGAATGAGGAAAGACTGGGAGAGGAGGGCAAATGAAGGAATACTACTCCTTGGACCCAGTGATTATTTTAATATTCACAAGGGTTTTCCTCAGTTTCTGGAATGGTTGGGAATTTGCTAATTTAGACTATTCTGGAAATAGGGCAGCAGGGTCAACAGCCCTCTTAATTTTGCTAAGACAACCTGACCTAGACAACAAAGCATTCCTAGTGTGATTTAGTGAATTTGCCCCAGAACCTGGGTTTCTTTGTGCCAAGTTTGAATAAGGAAAGAAGAGGGCTTATACTAGCATCAGTGTCAAATAGCAAGCATTTATTTATTAGATTTATATTCCCCTCTCATTCCAGAGCTCAAAGAAGCATACAAAGCTTTCCCCACTGTTTTCTTACAACTACCCTATGAGTGAGTGGCCCAAAGTCATCCAATGATCTTCTGTGTCTAAGGATGGATTAGAATGTGGGTCTCTCTGTTCCCAGTACAAAACCTTCACTACTGCACTGCATCAGCTCTCAGACTTAGTGACTTTAAATCTGGTTCAAATCAAACCTTTATTACAGCCTTTGGGCCAGAAAGCACAACCATAAAATACATAGACCTGTAATTATTAATAAAACTTTTTTAAAAAATGAAAGAAAATGTACATAAAATACATTAGTATAGTAACTGTAGTACAAATAGCAGTGGCAATCACCAACATTTGTGCTAAACCTCAACCGTAGGTAGGATGGACACAACAAATGGTAGCACAAAATCGGGCAACCTGGAAAGATCTGTCAGGGTCCTGGTCAGATAGAAGCAGTGATGGATAGACATTGTGCTCTCTACCAGGGTAGTTCTTTAAAACGGGATAGATATATTTCTTCCTTGATTCCCTATAGGGAGACCAACTGGTAATTCCCCAGAGCCATCTCCACATGGGCATAAGCACTGCTGAACAGGGATGTTTTATATCGTCCCCACAGAACTGCAGAGGGTAGAGCATCCAACCTGGCCAAGGACGAAATTTCAGAATTATCCAACCTGGCCAAGGACGAAATTTCAGAATTATCCAACCTGGCCAAGGACGAAATTTCAGAATTATCCAACCTGGCCAAGGACGAAATTTCAGAATTATCCAACCTGGCCAAGGACGAAATTTCAGAATTATCCAACCTGGCCAAGGACGAAATTTCAGAATTAGAACTGAAGAGAGATGAGATGATGGCACGTGGCCGTCTGAGAAGAATCCATAAACTAGGCTTAAACTGGTTTGAAAATCAGTATCCTAGATACATTGTTTAAGATGACTCCAGGCTGGTTGACTATTAATCACCATGTCAGCCTTACTTCTACCAACAATAATCTATAATTTCTCACAAACAAATGTTCTGAGAATTAATGCAAGCTTTAGCAAAAGTAGGTCAAAACGGAAACACAATTTGGCAATACAGGGGGAAATCCTACAAGCATCAGCTGTCCCAATGGAATTACCTGGAGAATTAATTTCCTGGCTACTCACCTGCCTGAACTGCCCCGAGTATGTCTTAAATTTGTTGAACTGAGATTCATCTTCTTGAAGAAATTCTTTGATTGACTGAATTAGCTGGATGTTCCGTTGCTGGAAGTTTTCCAGGATCAAATAGGGTCCCTGACAGAGTTTGGGCCTGTTTTCAGAAAAGAAAAATGTAGGTATCTGTGCAAAGATGCTTACAGAGAAGCGCTAGGTGATCTGCTGCTGCTGTTCTTTGAAGGTGTGGCGAATATCTCCAGCCAGAAATTCTCAACTGGATGCCAGAGCCCAGAATCAGAGATTCCTAGAGCTGGAAGAGGCCGCCACTTGCACAGTGCCAGAATCCAAATTAAAGCATCTCAGACAGATGCCTGACCAGCCTCTGCCCGAAAACATCCAGCACTAGTTTCTGTCAACATTCTACCAGGGCGTACCTTCGAGTGGAAGCTCTTTACTCTATTGTGCCCTGGTTTCCTTCTGGGTAATATCCCTTCAGGCATTTGAAAAGTGCTATCATAGATTCCTCTAATGCAGTGTTGTCCAAACTTGGCCACTTTAAGATGAGTGGACTTCAGCTCTCAGAATTCCCCA